TGTGGAGTGATGTCACTTGTTCATAACCTGTTCATGATTATTCTTAGGGTCTTTCGGTAAAGTCACGTAGATAGGTTCAAAGAAATAACAAAAAAAACTACGACGTTTCGATCGCAACACAAGCGTCCGTCATCTGGCAAAGGAGTTAGCCTCTGAAGGTAAAATGTTTATCAAGGTTTGGGGATGGGCTTGGCCCAAGTGTATCGGCGGCAACCAGGGTCATGGGCAGTGCACCACTGCCAATGCAGCAGCTATGTTAATGTGAGAGATTCGCATGTAAATGTAAGATGCGGCATGTGGAGTGACGTCACCCGCTCATGAATATTAATGAGGGGGGCTGGTGGACGTGGAGTGACGTCACGCGCGTTACACACTGACATTCTTGGCTTATTATAGTAATGAGCCAAGAATGTGTGTGTCCCGCGCGTGACGTCACACCACATGAGGCCCCCCCCCTCATTAATAATCATGAGCGGGTGACGTCACTCCACATGCTGCACCCCTCCCCAATAACCATCAGCGGGTGACGTTACTCCACATGGGGCAACCCCCCCCCCCCTCTCATTAATAATCATGAGCTGAACAATTATTCTATTGAATATTTCAAATTTACTGCAATACAAGCTCGTGATATAAAGTTTATGTGAGAGCCAGGGGCTTATGGGACAACGGGGTCCCGCCATAAGGTTAATTAGCCCAAATGTCGCCTCATATAGATTTTTATGTTTAAGGGACACATTGTTATTGACGAATGTATTCAGTTGCTGTTGTTCCATTTTGACTTAAAACTTTCGTGACTGCAGGAATTCATATTATTTGGTTCTTTCGGTAAAGTCACGTAGATAGAAAAATAATAATAAAAATTAAGTGAAAAACGACCGCTTGTGTTGCGATCGAAACGTCGTGTTTTTTCATGTTTATTTCTGTATTATTTTTATTCACTTTATTATTATGTTTCTATCTACGTGACTTTACCGAAAGAACCAAATAATTTGCTGTTGTTAATTATGCTTCCACACCACATCACGAGATACATTGTTTACCGACAAGTTTGCTAAACAATTGTCCACATCTGTAGGCGGAGCATAACTGGAAAACACTTCAGAATATCTTTCTACGAACGGCAGTTATTGAAGGCATATCGTGGTAATAATGATGGAATAAAGAATCGTGGAAGCGCAGGTTACGGTGCCTTTTGCAAAAATGAACTTTGTAATGAAAATTAGCACAGCAATGCGCTTAGGGAAGACAATTCCAATCAATGCACATCACTTGGCTTTGACGTGGGTCCATAATCTGGAGACACTGACAGGGATGATTTGAAAAAAAAACGCCCATAGAAGCGTAGAGAGGTTCGTGCTTGGCATTACACTGAGAGACAAAAAGGAAACGGATCGGAGAACAAATGCGAATATTGGCTAAGGAATGTAAGCAATACGCATTGGGCAGGACCACATTGCTTGATGGGAAGATGACCGATTGGACGAGATGAGTGATGAAATGGCAGCTCGTGTGCAGGAGCGAGATGGATTTTCGGCATCGCGAGACACTGGGGGGTGGCAACAACGTGGAGAGGCCTTCATCAAGCAGTGGATAGACCATGACTTTGGCATGTAATGTCCGTCGTGTGTTCTGTGTGCACATATTATTACAAGCGGTGGGCAGCAGAGGGCAGTGTAGTACTCCTATACTCCCACAATCAGCATGCTTTCTGCCTTCACCAAATACGCACCACCTCGCGTGGTGATCGATCAACCGACCACCCACAGGCGTGGCGAGGTCCTCATCCAGCAGTGGATTAACAACAGTGGCGTATATGTGATGGTGTGTATGGATTTTGGGCTGTATGTGGGTCGAGATATCATATTCTTAGGTGTTTTCGGTAAAGTCACGTAGGTAAAACATCAAAATTAATAAAAATAATAAAATAAAATAAAGATCACGACGTTCCGAAACGTTCCGAAACGTCGTGATCTTTATTTTATTTTATTATTTTTATTAATTTTGATGTTTTACCTACGTGACTTTACCGAAAACACCTAAGAATATGATTCCTTGCAGTCACGAAAGCTTCAAGTCTAGAATCGAGATATCATTTCAATAGGTGTTTAGGCCACAATTAAGCGACATGGAAAAACTTCCCAAGTGCTTTTCAAGTTCACTAGTTTATTTATTCTTTAATTTATAATGTGGCTTAAATAGGAAACCAATCGAGTCTCACATTAACGGAACTTTGCCACTGTATTCTCTACCCGGAGTTTTGCTTATTGCTTGAAAATGTCTCATGTGCTTTTAGAACGTGCCGTCGTAGAGTAACTTTGTCAACAGCTATAGCACAATCACTTCAGTCGTTTCCTTTACAGTGCTGGAATGATTTATTGCCGGTGTAAGACTCGGGGGTGAAACAGAGTTTGCGAGGAAGGTCACGCACATGTGTTTGTCTTTCGGGTAATTTTATTTTTCATACATCTCTCTTCCTCAAGCACACAGTTGCACGTTCAGTACACGGGGTTCCCGCTCTGGCCAAAAATCCTACTGAAAGTCAGCAACATTTTGGCAGCAGCAATATTTTGATGATTGCTAATTGACTCGGGAAAGCTTCTCTCAGTCTCAAAACTCGATTTTAACGTTTCACCTTTGGGATATTTGGCTCTTCTCTTTCATTGACATTCATCCGGACGAGTCGGTGCTGCCAATGCATCTGCCTTGTAGGCACCAGATGGAAGGTCTTGGCCTGGGCACGGACAGGGCAGGGGCCAGCCAACTGATGGCCCGTGGGCCAAACCGGACACGTGAACTCGTCGAATTAAGTGTTCACTCGTTCCATGGTAAGTGGCCAGGATGCCTCGCAACCTACTACCAAAGTACAACAAGACGTAGCGAATAGTCAATAGAGGCACGATAGATGCTCGCTTATAAAACACAGAAACGAATTCGAGAGGGGAAAAGGGAAGAAGTGGAGACAGTCAAAACACCTTAAACAAAAATCGTGTCGACTCTCTAGATGGGAACTAGAAGCGGTCTGGTGACAAACTACGATCGACTGGTGAAGGGGCCCAATAAATTCTACAAAGATCTGGAGAAAATCCTGCTGCGGGAACGGATGGGTTGGAGTCCACTGGCCGGCGACACCAACTATCAAACACCTGGTTTAGGCAGGTACAAAAACCTCATGTGTTGATGTTAATTATTATAATAGGTTGGCCCCCACTGGACGTAATTGGTATTAGAACGTTAGCAACAATACCACAGCTGGTACTGTGGAGGAGGGACGGGCCACTCCCTAAATATCTGCTGACAAAGAACCACCCTCTCAGAGGAGGCGTCTTGGGAGGACAGAGTATCCAACCCGTAATGCCTGTCGAACGTATGAGACAATATCGAGGTTGCTGCCTTGCAGACGACCTATGACGGAATGTTTGGGGCCCTGGCCCAGTTGGATGCCACGGTTCTGGTAAAATGGAGCCTCAGACCCTTGAGAGGCAGCCTCCCGGTCAATGCATAGCAGCAAGATGCAGGGCCTGAGCCAAACTGAGTTTGACTCAGGCCCTGCATGTCCATAACAAAGTGGCAGATGCAGGGTTGGCAGGTATAACTCCTGCTGGAGGTGAAACGTGGATTCCACCGTTGTTGAGGACCACCTTGTTTGCCTGGAAGTTCATGAACAACAAACTCACGAGCAAAGCCTGAATGTCCCCGATTATTTTTGCCGATGTCATTGCCAGCCAGGAGGAAGAGGATATTTAAAGCCAAAAGATTCCTTGTGACCATCAGCTCTAAGAGCTGTCGTGAGGACGTCCAACATCAATCTTAGTGCCTTGGTGTCATCGTGGTCCAGGAACGCTGAAATTGCCGACAAATCACACCTCGATGGACTATGTTAAACGTAACCCAGCTGGAACTCGTGTTGAGATGAATTGCATTTACAGTGCTGAAAGATTGCAGGACAGGGGATCAATCACTGGCCCTGACACCACGCAGAAAAGGTCCCCGAGTAAGAGGCCCTGACTGTGGAAGGCCGTATAGACTGTTGTACTTCAATGGAGACTCCCCGGTGAGAGAACCTTAGCCTTGCAATATCCATGATTCTAGATTTGAAGTTTTCGTGACTGCAAGGATCCATACTCTTTGGTTTTTTTGGTAAAGTCACGTAGGTGAAAAATTGAAATAAATAAAATCACGACGTGTCGGAGGCAACACAAGCTTCCGTCTTCAGGTGGAACCGTCACAGCAAAATTACTGTATCAAGTGATAAGCTGACTTCTTGTCTCGTTGTCTGTTAAAACTCTAACAGATACAGTAATTTTGCTGTGATGGTTCCACCTGAAGACGGAAGCTTGTGTTGCCTTCGAAACGTCGTGATTTAATTTTTTTTAATTTTTTACCTACGTGACTTTACCGAAAAAAGACAAAGAGTAATATCCATGATACAGTGGAATTACAACTCTAGACACATTGATGCCCTGTTGATGCAGTAGCAGGTCGTCCCATCTTGGGAGCTTCCATTGTGGCTATACCAGTTTCCAGAATGTAAAAAATACGTGTAATAAAAAAAAATTTCTATATGGTAGAGAAACGCATGGAAAGTGACATCATATTTTTGGAATAAAACCGAAACATTTTCGTGATGATACAAGATTTTGTATCTCGGTTCAGTTGTATATTTTAGCATTCAATCTGTATCTTTAAATGTAAACGACACTAATTATAGCCATTTGATGCCACTTCATATTAAAAATAAAAGTTCAATGGTTAATATTTTACGTAATTAAGATATAAAACGTAATGCATTACAATAAAAGTTAGGATACACTAAATCTGGAAATAAAAATGAAATCTTTAAACCCAAATCCTAACATCCCCCCAAACATCTGAATACCATTCCAAAAATACTTTTAAACGGAATTTCACTTGACTCATACACATGTGTGTTGTCTGCATTAAATCAAGAAACACAAAAATCTCAAAAATACGAAAGTTATTATTTTTATTTTCTTTTATTACGTAGACGTACAGGATGAGAACATAAAATTCATTCTCCTTTGGCATCAATAATAGTAACATTTTTTGCACTAATATGTACAGGAAGGTACGTTCAGATATATATCCCTGATTTAGCTCTTCACATTAGGACATCAATAATCACCCGCGTTGCATTAAAATTAGGAATCACATTGATACACTGGCTATGAAATTAGCCAATGCATCACACAAACTGGCTTGCGCTAACTAATCTAAGGTTTATTGGTTATTTAACAAACTTAAGCAGTTTAGAAAAAATAACAAACGTAAAAAGATGTTAACATAAAAAATATAATCCATTGTGCACACGTAACGTGTTGCAGGCTAGGCATCACATGACCCATTGTGGTCTCGATGCATGTGGAAGGTGACGTGTGTACGCAACGTGTACACATTAGACACGTGTGTACACGTAGGCACGTGTAGGCCATGCATGCACACGGAGTACGGAGTGCACACATTATTAGCATGTACACTTAAGGCACAGAGGAGACATTCGTGTTTTCTACATTTAGTATACAAAGAGCATGTACACATGGCACACACGTCATGGCCTGTACACGTATGGATGACATGGGTGCGACAGATGATGCACGAATAACACACAGCATGTACACATAGGGCACGCACATGACATGTACACACGAGCAAAGACAAAGATCCCCCGTATAGCCTGAGACTGTTGGGGCATGTGCCGTTAGTGAGCACCTATTAAGACCGACACGGCACACGAAACGGTGGGTGGCCAGCACCATGACCGGCCGCCTTTCTGTCCCCAATGCTGACATTTACACACCCTCACCAGGTAGTAATTTAAGGCTAAGTCGACCTAGGGGAGGCACAGGACCGATTCAGATATTTGCCACGGATATTGGCCACGAGCGGAATCGAACTTGGATAGCCAGGTTCGTTGCAAAGTGCAGCGTTAACCAATGCGCCACCGCTCCCCCTCCTGTGTGTACGTAAGTATGCACACACATACGTACAACGCAGCATGTAAGACACAGAGGTAAGGAAAGCACACCATTTTTTTCTCACATTGACTCAGGCTTGGTTTCGCTGGAGACGAGCCATGCAAAGTGTGTACAGATTAACACCCTACGCCCAGTATAACACAGTACATGGTCTTATGGTTAAGGGCGTGAGACCAATGTTTTAGGAATGGGATCGGTAAAAGGGCCACATTTGTTAATGTATTTCTTTAATAGAGCAACGCTCCACACCATGGCACGTGTGGTTCCACGAGTTGCAGGAATGTAGATCGAGGCTTTAGTCCTCTCGTCTCTAAATTATTGGCAACAAAACCTAAAACAATTGCTTTTGATTTAATGCGATTTTAGGAATCAAAAGGCCGCAAATGTGTGTGTGTTTTTAAGTGTCATTGTTATTTCCCAGCAGTTGCAAATATCACAGCAGCCTGCCACGACGGACGCGGTTCGTGAGAGGGTAAAATAATCCACAGGTACCATGCTGATTGTGAGATGACATTTGTTTGATGTCACATTCCCAAAACATTTTTCAACCACCCCTTTTATAACAACTCCACATTATAAATAAACCCGATAATTCCAAACGTTCTGCGTGAATCTCTTTTGTTTTTTAAACGCAGGATTTTGCAATTAACCAGCCGGTTTCATTTCATCGAACAAGTGGTTCGGTTTAAATAAACTACTTGCAATGTTCTGATTGAAAACACAAGACAATTTATGTATATATATTAAAAACAGTTTAATGCCTTTTCAATCTTTTCCTTCTGTTACACACAAACATTTCCTATCCTATATTCCCATCTAAAAATCTCTGCGTCCCGAAATTATTACGTCTAAACCCCTATCCATCATTTGGTTCAATGTACATCGCTTCACATAATAACATTTTGTATGGGATTTTCCGTTCCACCCTCAGCGGTGACGGCCTGCCCCCTTATGGGAGCACCCAGGCGTAGAGGTGAGCAGTGCTCGCTGTGGCAACGGGCCACTCGAGATGCGGCCACACGTGGCAGGGGCAACACTGAGCAATGCCGCTGCTGGGAGGTTCTTCGATAAGTCTGTGGCCTGACAAAAGCAAAGGCTGACCTTGATTTCACGATGTTATGTTTCTACATTGCGCTTGCTTGGTCCGTGCACGTTTGAAGGATTTAATCCCCTTTTGTGAGAACTCTTAAGCATTGCTCCTCAAATCACTTCCTTGCCACTGGGAAAAATGAATTTCTCCGCAAGTTTTTTCTTCACTGTGGGCACGTGTCGAAGTCACTGGAGGGCAGGTCTGGCGAGTATGGATCTTTACAGACTTCTCTGGCTCTTGATGACTTCTACCATTTCGAATGTGCTTCTGCGGCCGTCTGGAACGCTCTTCCTTCCGATATTAGGAAGCCACTGTAGCTATGCACTTTTAAATCATCTAGATTGAAAACTCATTTGTTTGGAACGAATTTTTGTGTTTGGTTTTGTTGTCCATCTCCCGCACTTCCCATCACAGCGTGTTTGGCTGCGTACGGTGCAAAAGAAGTTCAACGCAGACATTTACCTATCCAAAAAAAGTGTTGCAAAAATATAAAAAAGCAACCCAGAGTTATTCTATTGTTGTTAGGTTTGGTAATCCTTGTTAAAAAATATTGTACTTTTAACTGAACATTTAGTCCTTGTTATAGCACCGCTCATTCTACGTCACTTCAGGGACTTGTACATCGCCGCTTCACATTCCTCTCTTCAAGCTTGCAACGCACACAAGTCATGAAATGATCCTCTTGATGGTGAATCCCAACTTTGTAAAACAAAGCTTTAAAAAATAAAATTAAAACACAAACCAAGACAGAAAACGTAGTGGCATTCAATAAATCCACGCTACTCGACATTTATGCACACACGGTATGTATATAAAAAAAATTACATCAAAATACGCGACGGCAATAATGGAAAATGAAATGGCAGACGATTGTAATAGCACGAAATAAAAACTACAATTTTCTAATACAATTTGTAATTCTCTTAACTACGATTCACATACTCGATTAAGAGAGGCAATTACACCAATGCAGCCACTGCAGCTCTCACACCTGCCCATCAAATGTGGAACGTTGGGCCAAATTGGAACCCAACCCCTTGGGCCAACGGGTGCTAACCACGCTCCAACATTGGCCCCCCGAGGTCACGTGCTTTCTGGGCCCTTGCCACCTCGGTTCAAGTAAAGGTACAATGGCTTTCGCGAACGCTCCAAGCTGGCAGTATCCTCGTGCGAGATATTAATCACGGGTGTCTCGTCTCCCAAACCGCCGAAAACGTATATCTCCACTTAGCTGCTGTTCCTTCTGCTGTAGAAACAAAGACAACAACATTCTATTCCACTCTTCAGCGTCTGCGTTGTAATGCCAGCCAGAAGAATAACTTAAAAAAAACTTTAAAATGTGTTGATTTTGCTTTAGCGTTGTAATGTTTCGTTTTTTTTGTGTGTGCGTAAGTTTATATTTTACTGTACCTGAGTATCACAGTTTCAGGCATTAAAAATATTGATACAAAACATGAAGATTAGGTTTGATCATTCGTACCACGTTACTGAATTTATTTAAGGCTATGAGAGGCACGACCAGGATGCGGGTCAGTTTGAAGCAGCTGGATTCCCAATCATGCGAAGACGAGTTTAAAAGCCCAACCAGGGCTAACTCAACCAATCATCATCATTACTCCAAGGTCAGTAAAATGAGCACCTACCGGGCGAGAACGAACCACTTGTGAAATTGTTGTCTGTCCTGTGGAACTTACACACACGGCCCAAAACCACCGTCAGAGTCGGCATCCTGATTGCCTAAACACGCTCATGACACAGCAAGACGACGCAAATTACCCATTTTATATTTCAATACAGGAATAAAAAAAATAAAACAAAGTTTGACGAAAACGGTACCAAAGTTGCAGTCGGGCGTTGGGTAACGTCTCGTCATCACAGTGGGAACTGCACTCGACCGTGCTCGTAAACTTCTCTCGCTCGCAGACACCCACACGAACGGGCGTGCGGGCGAGAGCGTGCACCCTGCCCACTCGGCCCAGTGAGGGGCTTTCTCTTAGCTGAGGGCTTCTCGCTTGAGGCCGCTGCCGTGGCTGAAGACGTGCGCTGCGCTGGGGGTCACGGGGCTGCCCCCCATCGTGTGCAGGTGGCGGAACTGCTCCGCGCCGGCCCTCGTGCCCGGCGGAGGCACCGACGACGGCGGCGAGGGGTGCGGCGTCTCCGGCGACGACGCTGCCGGGGAACATCGGGGCCAGCTCGTGACACAGGGCGCCGGACCGTTTGTTTACATTGTTTACATTGTGCACAGCGGTCACTCGTGGAAACGATAACCAGGCTGTGTACTCATCTTCTTGGTTCTTTCGGTAAAGTCATGTAGAAGGGAAGTAATGTTTTATTTTTATTATTTTATTACTTCCCTTCTACGTGACTTTACCGAAAGAACAAAGAAGATGAATCCCTGCAGTCACGAAAGCTTTAAATCGAGGCTGTGTACTGTTTAATATAATTTAGTAGATGTACCCTCACATGCACCTCCGATTAGCACGGTTGGCTACGTAATGTGGTAAAGAATTTCGACATACAGAAATTGCTTAAAAATGCAAAAAACTAAACTATTTGTCGAAACTATTTTAATTTTACCAGGGAAGGCCCACTAAGCTATGTAGCTTTTTATTTAGAAGCGACCTGACCACAAATGATAGCTCAACAAAGTGGCTTATCACGTGGAAATGTATAGCAGCCAAATACTCGACACACATGATGTTGATTCTAAATATGGAGGGAAAAACAGGAGGACCCGGAGAAAAATCCACGTGACCACGGGGAGAGAAAACACGCAAACTCCAAATTTACAGGTGTCAGGGTTGGGGTCGAACCCATGACCTCCTGTAAACCAGGCGAGGCGGTTAACATCGGCAGGCGGGGAGTGCGGGCGAGGACCATCGGCGCCGAGCGTGTGTGCGCGGTGCAGTGTGAGCAGCTCACTCCACTCACAGACTTGGCCGTTGGGCATGAGGCCGTGCGGCAGCGTGGTGCTCATGATGACCTGGCCGCCCATGTGCTCGGGGTTCAGGTGGGAGGAGGGGTGCTGCACGTGCGGGTGCTGCAGCTCGTTCGCCGCCCCTGCGCACGCGGTCACAATCGGTGCCCCTCCGGTTAGACCCGAGCAGAGCCGGCTCGTGGGAGCAACGTGGTGCACGCGTGCGTGTCGCACGGGGTATTTGAGTGCGCGTGAGCGCGTGTGTGCGCACACGCACAGACGCACGTGCGTGTCGCACGGGGTATTTGCGCGCGCGCGCTTGAGGGATCACGTGTGTGTGCGCGTGTATGGATGTGCACGTGCGTGCGAGTGCAGGGTATTTGCTCGCCTGCGTGAGTGTGCGTGTGTGCATGCACAGACTGTGCGCGTGCGTACGAGCACAGGGCGCTCACGCGCACGCGCGTACGTCCACGCTCGTCCGCTCGCTCCTCACCTCCGAGCAGCATCTCCTGCAGCAAGCTGTCGACGCGCACGACGCTGAGGAGCCGCGCCAGCTGGATCTGCTCGATCATCTGCCACGCGAGGCTCTGCAGCGTGGGCAGCAGCAGCAGCAGCTGGCCAAAGCGCCCGCGCGACTCGTACTGCCGGTCCGTCACGTAGTCTTCCAGGCTCAGCTGCGCCTGGAAGCGCACGTTGCGGATCCGCTCGGGGTCGCGGAGGCCCTTGGCGTCTGCCGGGCGGACAGCGGAGGGGGGGGGGGGGGTGGGAGGTCGCAAGGGGAAGAGGACGACGGTTAACCCTCCTTGCCGAGCGGCGCGGTGAACGAAGCACGCGGCTCGCGACTGGAAGGTCGTGACTTCAAATCCTGATCCGGCGTCGACTCACTTTACCGTCAGCTCTCACACAACTGTGGCGAACGTATTACTGTCCCATGTGGCGATCGACTCGCAATCAGAAGGTTAAACCCCAGCCAGGAGAGCTGGACTCGGCACATCATCACCATCCACCTCTGTGTGGCTGTTAAAAAGAGTACTGCTTTGTGGGGGAGTCAACAGCAGTCATTGCACGGACAGACTGGCCCCTCATCTCATGGGAAATTGTATACCGCTGGCTTCTGGCTGTCTCAGGAAAGAAGGCTCACTCAACACTTGTTTAATTCAGGGATACACTTTGACTTCAGTTTGAATGTTGATCTGACCACGGGTGGCCAAGGGAGCTCATGCTGCTGCTGTTATAGTTTGAATAATTGGGCCTAGGAATAAGCAGCTGTTCTCAAAATGTTCCAGCGACCACTTGACCACCATAATCATCATCAGCCACGATAAATCCACTGCTGGACGAAGGCCTCCCCCAAGTTGTCCCCAATTAATGTTTTATTCCACCCAGCCCCTGCACATGAACCCATTTCATCGTTCCATTTCCTCAGTAGAAATCCTACAGGGCGCGTTCCGCTCCTTGGCTGCCACTCCGTTATTATTCTCAACCATCGGTCCATCTTCCCTTCGAGCCGTGACGCGTCCTGCCCAAGCCCGCTGAGTTTTCTGAAAAGTTTGAATTGTGTCTTTGACCTCAATTACGTAGCCATTTATTTCCCGGAGCATGTGCACGCCACCATTAATCACTGCTTCTGAAGTCGAATTAGTCGGCAGCTCCGTGAAATTAAAACGACAAGAGGAAAGGCAAAATGAGATTGATTAGCATTCCACTGCTGATAGAGCACTGACCCTAACATAACACACAGACACAACGAAGACACCTTAATTTCCTGCTTTTGTTGTTGTTGCTGTTATTATTCGTCTGAGCGAGCTCACTGCCAGCTCACTGAACCGGCACAAAATCCACAACCAGCTGGGTTGACATGGAGCTAGAATCACTGAACTCACAATTGTGAGAGTGTGAGTTTAAACATCCAAGTTGGAGACCGACTCTTGCCATTTTCAGAATCAGAATCTTTATTTAGACTGGAGGAAACCGATGAGCTATGAAGCCCTTTTTTAACAGATGTCCAGATGTCTTTCAGAGGTTATTAACATGAGTTCCACCACGTGGCCAGGTCAACACTGGATATCTTTTGATATCCAGACCGCTCCCTGCAATAGGCTAGAGGAATGTGGAATTTTCACCACCAATTGGTAAGGGCAATAACCCCCATTCTCAATTAACCAAGGAGACACCTTGACTCTGACTTTAATAAAAAAAACAGTGAAAGTTACTTGAGTGTTTTTTTTTATCGCGGTTGGTGAGCTCGGGCCCAGAGGCTCAAAACACCAAGCGTCCAGCAACAAACAGCACCTTTGAAGGTTTACTAGATCAGAGTTAATGTCTTGAACTGAGAAAGTTTACAAGAACTTGGGAAAAGAGACGATGGGAGTTGACCATTGAGAATATGCCAAGTAGACAGAGAGCTGTTATTTCCCTGCAGCATCGTGGTTGGACATGGTGTGGATGATACAAAACAGTCAATCTGCCAGGCCGAGGCCTCAACATGGGTGCAGGAAACAATGAGTGAAGCTCACGGGAAGAGTAACCATAGTAGTAAAGATAGCAGAGCGATACTATTGGTGAACAAGTGACAGATCATCATCGGTCAAGCTGAGGCGTCGACCGTCGATGGACGCATCCGTGCTCGCTCCGCTCACCAGGGTCGAAGAACACCACAGCCTTGAGGCAAGCGAACTCGTTGTCGTCGATCTGCAGTTCCTGGAAGGGCACCACGAGCTCATCCAGGACACGGCACGCCACGCGGCCCACGTCTGCCTCCGGGCATGAACGAGCCAGGATGTGCCCATCGCCTGCCGCACAAACAAAGCAAAGGCAAAGATCCCACATATAGCCTTAACAGACTGTAGGGTCAAGTGCTGTTAGCGAGCACCTATGAAGGCCGGCACAGCACATGAGGGGGTGGATGGCCAGCACAACGTCCGACCGCCTTTGTCTCCCTAGTGGTGATGTTTACACATCTGACCAGGTACTCATTTGAGGCCGAGTCGACCCAGGGGAGGCCCGGGACCGCTTCAGATAATCGTCACTGGTGTTGGCCGTGAGCGGAAATTTAACCCAGGTCGGCAGGTTCGTAGTGCAGTGCGCTAACCGCTACACTACCGCTCCCCACACGCGCACCCACCACCGATGCCATTTAATTGTTTGTGTGTTGCCGCATTCGATTGTTCACTGGTTTAGTAAATTGTTCATTTATTTGTTTGTTTGTTTCGCTGCTTTTATCCTCTCATATTCTACTGGATCGTGAGCCACGGTGGCTAGGAGATGTTAACTGCCTCACCCGGTATACAGGAGGTCGTGGGTTTGATCCCGACCCTAACGCCTTTATATTTGGAGTTTGCATCTTCTCCCCGTGGTCGCGTGGATTTTTCCGCGGGTCCTCCAGTTTTTCCCTCCACATTAGAAACGTGCCTTTAGAGTATTGGGCTGCTATACATTTCCACATAAGCCACTTGGTTGAGCTATCATTTGTGGCCAAGTCGCTTCTGAAAAAGAGCTGTATAGCTCAGTGGGCCTTGCCTGGTGTAGTAAAACACATAGTTGAGTTTTAGTTGAGAGTGTTGTGATCACTTTGTCCCGCTGCCCGTGGAATTTTGTGGAGTAAAGTGCTCAATTTTAAATGGGGATAGACAGGCCACCAGACACAGAGACAGACGGGCAGGCCTACTGAAAACAGAAACACAGAACAGATGGAAAGAGAGGCAGACGGACAGACAAACAGGGAGATATGCAGGCAAGCAGGAACATAGGCAGGCCAACACACAGACAGAAACACAGACAAACTGGCCAGCAGACAAAGAGACAGAGTGACAATAGCGACTGCCTAACGCAAACAAACATGCCCCAAACACGTCTTAAGAAAGTTGATGCTGGGCAATGCTCAGCAGCAGAGGCGCGGAAACGAACAAATGGCAGTCAGTGGCTCTCCTCAACGCCATGAACCTCTCTTCGACCGGACCCTGTCCGCGTGCCGGCTGGGCGCGACGCGCTGGAACGTACCCAGCAGCAGGACGTCCTTGTAGGTCATGGAGCGCTTGGCCACGCCCAGCAGGAGATGCTCTCCCGCGTGGGCCCTCAGCAGTGCCACCTGCAAGACGCCGAGAGAAGGGAGCGCGCGACACGTCAGGCGTGCTATGCGGCCGGGCGGGCGCGAGTGGGGGCTTCACTGCCGCTTGCCGCAGAGGTCCACGTCATCGGGTTCCGGGGCTATCCCCCGGTACATCCTGTCCCGTTCCAATGACGTGCGTGTACGTCATACATTTTTCTTCTGATTCCAAACATATGTGTACGTCACCGGAATGGAACCAGAAGAAAAACTTAAATAAAATAACTTTTTCGTACCGAGGCTCCCACAAGGTCATCATTGCGGGATGGCGTGTGGCACAGTTTGGCGCCAGCCATCATAGAGTGCGGTCGTGTCGCTACAGTTCTCTGCGGTGAGTACAATGTCTCTAAAGGCAGCGGCGCTACGCCTCTCTTAATAAAATTAATGCCGAGCCGCTTGCGCCTCCCGAGATTCAGCGGTGAACGGGACCCACCCTGCAACTTGCAGACGTCTCGGAATGGTAAAAGGTTAATACTACGGGTGTGTTCACAAAAACACCACGGCATCTGCTTCACGACGGACGCTGGAGAATGCCGCGAGGTTATTGTAAAGAAAGTAGGCCATGCGTGCGGTCACGGTACAAATTTGCTCTATTGGGAGAACACAGAGCTCGTGAGGTGTGTCGGTTTGATATACTTTGCGGGCGATGACATAATCCGAGGAACAATGATAACGCAGAAGGACAGATGAACAGCAGACAGACACATGCAGATAGACGGGCATGGACAAATAACAGAGGGACATTAACACACAGGCGGACAGCCTGAAATACCTATAGACAGCAGACAGACACAGGGAGGGCCCACAGACTGCATATATTGGAGGGAGAGTGCGGCACGTCTGATCGAATGAGCGAATGCACCGAGCTGGGACGACGGGGTGGATCCCGCAAGCATCGCTCACCTGGTCGTCCAGCAGCAGCTCGCAGAACACGGGCAGGTACTTGGCCCACTCGACGAGCACCAGCAGCTGCTGCTTGATGGACTCGCAGATGTCCTGGATGCTAGCCACCTGCTTCAGGCTCAGGTCGCCGGAGCCCCCGACCATCGGGGGCATGAACTGCGCACGGCGGTCGCACACAAGAGCAGCGTTAGTGCTCGACCGCCAGATGCCGAGGGTAACTGAGAGGATGGACCCTCTGATCCAAGGATTACCACGATCGCGCCTCCTTGTGTATCGAGGAATAACTGAATCTCAAGGCTCTCTGCCAGGAGGGTCCTGCATTGGCGTCTTGGGCCAATGATATTAACGGGTGTTTGCCTCGTGGGAGGAGAAACTCTACGCATATAAGGGGTAGTAATTCTCAAACACCACACGGATAGACTCAAGATTCCATGACTGGACTTTCCCTTCGCAGCTCAAACCCTCGAACCGCATCAGGACAGGACAGCATACATCTTTACCAAATTGATGGATTGATAATATACTCCCCTGTGTAGCATCCTGGGAAATTAAATTAATGGACCTCCAATTTTAACCTCCACATATTAAATAATAATCAATATATTCCAGTCTATCGACCTTCTGGTTTCCAGACTTAGGCTAACCAGCAGAATTTGCTTCGAGCGGCTGCGATGGATCCGACAGGCCGATCTGTTGGCCGACTTGACTGACCGACTGAATTTCGACGGTGGCCCTGGGCTCCCGTCAAGCGTCGGCCGAGGCCGGCGCAAGCCGCAGCACCCGCTCTGGGTGGCACAGAGGGAGCGTGCGCGGAGCCCCCGCCCCCCCTCACCTGTCGAGAGAGTGACTCGGCCTGCACGAACGTGTTGATGGAGGGCGACGTGGCGTCGTCCTGGCTGTTCCGCCGAGTGCTGATCCTGTCACGCTCGTTTTGTACTGCTGCAGGGTGTGGGGAGTGAGAGCAATAAGGGGTTCGGGTGGATGGATGGGTAAGTTATTTATACATTGGGAATCGTGGCAATGTTTACAATACTCCGGCCGGGAGTGCTACAGTCAGCCCAGCATCCCTCTTGAAGTTGATGAGCGCCACTTTTACCGAGTTTCCGACTTGAATTGACTCGAGCATACTCGAGTAGGCCTGAACTCGAACGATGGACAACTTGAGGCAATGGAAACAGTGCGGTTATCACGATTTCCCGAGATAGTGGAGTTATCACGTAACCTGGGACAGGTCCTTCCCAGAAACCCGACCGAGGGACACTTAGCAAGAAATGTTTGTGAGTGGGCCCCTGCTGGTGTGCCTCACTCGGCCTCCATCTCTACATTATCCCCCAAACCCCACCATCAGGTCACTGGCTTCGAGGCCAGCAGCACTATACCTACGCAAACTTCCGGCCGCTTCACACACGCAGGAAACACCTGACCTCAGGCCCTTGCTGACTATGCACAGTCGGTGCCTGATAGGCCTTGCCAATCATGCCACCTTGAGCAGGAAGGAAGGGCTGTATAATTATTACCTGTGTAACAAATCAGCCACCAACCGCCAAGCGATTCAATAAATTGTCACGTGACGCAGTTTGATTTAATTATTAATTTGGTCTAAATTACGCCGTCTTATTTACATTGTGTGTGTTTTTTATTGGTCTCATTTGTAGATTGGTTCGATTATTTAGTGTGAATGTAACCATCTCATATACTGCGTTGACATGTAATAATTGTGCATGAATCGTAGGTAATCTATTCTTTATACACACAATTCAATGGATGCGTCACAATCACAACACATGATTTTACAAGTCGAATTGACGCATGCCCAAAACTGACAAGCGGGCCAATTTAAAGTGGGAATAAAACAGCACGGGGTAGAAACTAGAGAGAAACTAAAAAAAACAAGCCAGCAAAACGACGATGAGCAACTTGTTTTTCGAGTCGCGTTTACGTCACTGCTAGAGCAATAAAGAGGTGGTGATTCAAGGCTGCTCGGCCGTTATCACAGCCGGTGTCACGCCGTATCGACCCATGCAGTCATCGGGTGCCACAAAACATTAACGCGCCGTGCATTTAATTGCCTCTTGTTATGGCGCCGAGGACTTGAACGGCTCTCCGTTTTTTTGGCAGGCCTCCTCTCTCCTCTCCCCTCTCTCCCTGCCCCTCTCTCGTCTCCCTACTCCCCCTGTACTTCTCTTCTCTCCCCGTTCCCCCTGCACCCCCCTCCGGGGCTTGGGTGCCAACACAGATAAAATGGTCGCATTAGGTATAATTATAATTTTGCAACGTTTGAGGAAGTAACACTGTACTAGGTGGCAGTTGAAGAGGGTGGCAACGTTTCGAGAGCTCGAGTCTAAAGTGGTGCATTCATTATGAAGCATTCACTGGCGGCCGGAAATTATTTTTTGTTAAAAGATCACGCACACGTCCCATTTATATCAAAACCCAACTGCGCAAGAGAGCGTGCGCTGGCAATCATCTACGCGTTGATGGTCCCGAGCCAGTGGGTGAAAATATGAACAGAATCCGCACAGCTCAAGGTCGCTGTGCTCATCTCCTCCACAAGTGGAAGATTAAAAGCAGCCCCCCCCCCCCATTCCATGATTGCGGGAAGCATCACAAACGATGGACAACCTCGTCAATTCGTTCCCCCTCCCGCTCATTCGGAGGAGGTAGAGAAGCCATCCGCAACTTCACCCCAGAGGCCCTTGGGCTGGCTAAAGAACCATGTCACAAACCTTTGGCAACTCCGCTTCTTCCCTACAATAAGTCTGCTATATTGCAGCAAACCATACGGCAGAAGAAGAAGCGGTGGTGGTGGTGGTGGGAATTCCACATTCCAGTACCGGGGAGGACTATCCCTCCATAGGACAACCAATGTTGACTTCCCACAAAGGGGTACCCCCCCCCCCCCCCGCTTTAGCAACCCCACAGGGACAATGGGATAAGTTGACGGCCTTCCTGGGGTCCTTTCGATTTTAATCTGAGCTTGCCGAGCATCCAGCAGGACACTGGTATTGATCACGGTTTCTGAGTTATAAAATAAAGTTCAACTGGTGACAGGGCCTGAACTAAATGTTTGTACTCTTAATTATACGTTTCGTGACACGAGTAACGTAATATGACCGCCCCTGTTCTCCCATGTTGCACAGGCCCTTGACCTCCGCTTTATAGCTCAATTGCATTACAATAACCTTTTTGGGTGTCAAATTCCATTTCCATATACTGCATCGTATTAGTATTCTTATTTTATGATTGTTTGCGAAAGTTAAAGAGTAAATAACTTTTTGGAAGCTTTTTCAAATGAGTGTTTTTATGTTTCCATCGTTGCCCATCAAATTTACAATGAAAATGTTCAAGATAAGTTTGTATTTTATTTAACTCACCGTCTACATTTCGATAAGGCAATGACCACTTTTGAAATTGCAGGGCAAACACAAGGCAGAGCCGATGGCAGCACGCATCTCCGCCTGCGGCATCGTCCCTGCCCTGTGCTGCTTCTTCCCACTAAACAAGCCCCTTACATTATCCTGCTGGATGCACCCCGAGTCTCTGATCGCTGCCGCTGTGTCAGGGACACTGGGATCGTGAAATTTGTTATCAGTAGGGAGTGCGCAACGTGTCGAGTGGGGGGGGGGGGGGCGGTGTTTTTAATCCCACATCATGCATCTGTATGCTTTATCCGAGCCAATAAGCTGTATCCGATAAGCAATACAAAAACGCACCTCAACTCTCCCATTCCACCAAACGCGGGGACGATAAGCAGGGACCCGCGGCACTATCTCGTCGCCTGTTAAGGGCCTCCCTTATCACCCCGTGGCGAAGAGCATGGCGACTGCAGAGCGGAGTTGCAAGGTGAGCGTTGCTTCACCTGTCGGCGCTCGCCCACCACGCGCCGGGGTGGGGGGGTGCTTTAAGCGAGGCCGAGATTGTATTGAGCGCCGCGTCAGTTCCTTTACGAATAATTAAAAATAAGAATAGGTTTTATCCTTTATGGCAATAAAACACATTCGCCCCCTGTTCTGCATGGGTTTCCTCATTCACATGGCAGGGGCTAGCGTAGACTTAGGACAGGGGTCGGCAACCTACGGCTCCGGAGCCGCATGCGGCTCTTTACGGGCTGCTTCTTGACGATATGTACAGTATGTACTCAGATGCATTGCGGCTCTTGAAATACTGAATTTTGTACCGAATTGGAAAGAAATGGCTCTTCTTGTTATTTTGGTTGCCGACCCCTGACTTAGGACAACCACCAGTGAAATCCACTCACTGACCTCCGACCGGGATTAAAAATCTCCGCAAGTCTCCGATTGCAAGTCGTAGCAACCCCAGCCTGATGTTGCACCGATACGATGGGATTGTATACGCCTCGAGTGTGTGTGTGCCTCAGCCGATCTTGTTGGCAAGCAGTGGAAGTGAATGGGCAGTTCCTTACCTTCTTTTTTCATGCCAGCACGGAAGCACTTTTTCAGGCGGCAGTACCGGCACTGGTTCCGCTTGTCCTTGTCCACCACGCACTGCCGGCTGTACCTGCACGTGCCACACAACACGCACCTCTAGAGCCAAGGGACGTCATCCCAGTGCGGCCCCAAGCGCTGCAGGCCACAGTGGTGGCTAGCAGCCGGGCTCCCAGCTGTTTTTATCTATTACTACTACTACGACTATTTCTATGTTTTCTTTTATTATTTGTATTTTACCAGGTAAGGCTTCCTGAGCTATATAGCTATCAGAAGCGACCTGGCCACAAATGATAGCTCAAAAAAGTGGCTTATTATGTGGAAAATTACAGAACCCAAATACTCGAAATTCGTGTTGATTCTAAATGTGGAGGGAAAAAACAGAGGACTCGGAAAAAAATGCACGTGACCATGGGGAGAGATAGACATGCAAACTCCAAATATACAGCAGGCGTCAGAGTTGGGATTGAACCCACGACCCCCTGTATACCAGGCCAGGTAGTTAATTATGTCGTCACCACGACCTACTGCATTTGTTTACATCCTAATACAGTATAACTGTACATTCCAATGCTGAAAGGTTGCTTTTCAGCATTGGGATATACAGTTATTCTGTATGGTGTTATGGCTGTGGGAGGAAACCACAGAATCTGGAGGAAACCCATGCAGAACAGGGGCGAACATACAAACTCCATAGAGAAAGGCCCCTGAGTTGGGAATAAAACTCAGGCACCTTCTTCCTGTAGGGCAGAAGTGTTAACACTCAGCCACGCTACCACCCTGTGAGGCCATATGTTCAAATCCCAGGCTTGGTCAACTCAACCTATCATCATCATCAACGTTATTTTTGGCATCATTGCCAACATCATCATCATTGCCACCGTTGACATCAACGTTGTCTGCGGTCGGTGAGATGAGCGCCAGTATCGAAGTGGACCGATTCCTGCCATGTTACTGTAATTTGGAATTTCCAACGACGGGTTCCACGTCACCAACGAGGATGAGCACCGCCTCATGCTCATTATTAGCATGGGAACGCCAACTTCTTTGGGCACAAAACAGGTTTATGATTTATGGGGCTATATGACGCATACAGTGCGTATATATTTTCTTTTATGGTGTTTGCGTTTGAAAAGTGCAGGCATATCTTTAAGGGTGCCATGTGCATCGGTGTCAGTGGCTTGGGAGGTGTCCGTTGCGTATATGGCACACAATAAAGCGCTCCTGCCTTTTTTTTCTTCATTTTCTGTTATGAGGCGCGCGGCTCCGCACGTGATCCCGCCTCGCATAGCCAAGCCATTCTTTACGCTCCTAAAAAAGGACCTGGCTGGGCCCCAAGCCCGGTGGTGGAAATTCCACGTTCCTATGACGGTGTCCGCCAGACGCTTAAATAGCGGACACTCCCCCGTTGCTGATCCAAGCCCCGTGCTCTATTTTTCCTTTAGTGCTGCATTTTAACGCGCCCATTTATTTATGAACACGGCAGCACTATCTGGTACAGGAATGTTCATGGCGGGCAATAAAGGGTGAATATACAGCTGTGCCCTTACCAGTAGTTGGGCAGGTATTACTTATTGCAGGTAGTCATGTACGGTCGTTAAACTTGTACACAATGACCTTAATTGTAGGGGTTAAACTATAGTGAGAAGGCATTCCTTTTTGAACTCTGACATCATCATTCCTGGTACGCTGTCACGGCCCGCTGAGAATACGGAACTTGGAGAGGGTGCATGGGGTGACGGCAGTGAAGACGCGATGAACCGCAAGGGGCGGTACGTTCAATTGGCTACGCATTTCTAATCGGCTAATAATGTGAAGACATATTCTTGGTTCTTTTGGTAAAGTCACGTAGAAGGGAAATAATAAAATAAGAAAAAATATAGTAATAAAATAATATAAAGAAAATTTTATTATTTTATTATTTCCCTTCTACGTGACTTTACCGAAAGAACCAAGAATATGAATCCCTGTAGTCACGAAAGCTTTAAATTGAAATTCTTTCGTTAAAGTTTAAATAAATAAAAATGTGAAGACAGCAAACATTATGACGACGATGTACGTATGTTGAACTTCTTTCACACCGTACACAGCCGACAGTGTTAATCGGAGGTTCTAAAGAAATATCTCCAGGAGCTTCCTAATAACACTGATGATGTGCGTGATGAGGAAGATCATGGTGATGACGATTGTGGTTATGATGATCACGTGGGTGATGATGATGACGAAGGTGACGTGAGTGATAAAAGCGATGATGATATTTACCAGAACTGCCATCAGCGCTCTCGCTGTGTCTACCCTCAATTGCATCTGTGCTACTGACCGAATCCGTTCATTTACAATTTCCTCATTTACACGTTTATAGCAGCATTCGGAGTTACCGCGTTGACGCGCCGTGTTTAAGGGACGTGCCAAGGTTAAGGGCGCTGTATATGGTAACCGGTTGCGCAGGCATTGACACTGGAAACGCTTAGCTCGATGCGTTTCAGAGTGTGCCACGTTGGCATTGACTTATCCTTAATGACGGAAAGCCTCACTCAGTTGCAAGTCTAATTTTGTAAGGCCCTACTTAGACCTGGAACACTTGTACCAAATTCATGCAATGTGACACCTACTCACTGTATTGCCTCTTAAAACGCAGCATACCGTGTCCCTCAAGGTAGGAGTCTCACACTCATGCTGGATCCATCTCTGTATGATCCACCAACCATACCTCCAATCACTAGATTGTTGATGTGCTCACCACATGATGATGATCGTGAACAATGATGAAAATATAATTTTTCACAATTATGATAACGATAATGTGGAAATAATAGCAATAATAATTATTAGTTGGCAACTCGGAATCCATATCCTTTGGAATTTCAATGAACTGAAATAAATATGAAGTTGCAATTCAACTCAAGAATTGTTCCGTTGCCATCTTGGAGAAGGCTGCGTCAATAGTGACTGTGGGATTTATGCGAACCAATTACTTACAACATATACAATCTACAAGATCAGAAACTTAAACCCACAACTCGGTACGTGTGTTGTTACCAGAAATTATTTAAAACCACAAATCCGTTATCAATGACACTGATGACAACAGTGACGGCAATGCCAAAGATCGTAATGGAATGTCTTATTGCTCATAGCGGGGAGTTGATAAAACAATGTTTTTTACGTTCATTAAAAAACACGTGCAACGCTGCCAGCGAATGATCGAAGTGAGCAGTGGTGTTACTATGTGGTCCACGGTGTGAGTCACAACGTGGGCCACAAGTACGGTGCTTATATTGGCGCGGTAATTTTTAGTAAAATGCAATGCCGAGGTAGGGGGAAAAAAAAAACCCATCCAATAATTCACGCAAGCGAAGGCCACAGGACATAGGGAAGAAAGAAAAAAACATAATCTCCAAGATGTCACGGATTTCATTCGGTCCGATGATTTCCCGTGACCACCTTGGACCTCCGCGAGCCCTCCGAGCCCCAAAAAACATCGGATGACAAAAGCACCCGGAGCCTCATGCGGCCCCACGTCTCGCCGCCTGCGCACCTGCAGGAGTACATGTGGTTTTTGCGGATGCTGCGGCGGAAGAACCCCTTGCAGCCGTCGCAGCTGGAGGCGCCGTAGTGCTTGCCCGTGGCGCGGTCCCCGCAGATGGCGCAGAACGACATGGTGCCGCCGCCGCTAGCCAAGCCGCCCGGCGCGTCGCCCCCGTTTGCCGCGCCAGCTATGCTGCCGGGGTCCACGGGGGTCATGTCTCCTGTGGGGAGCGAAGACGAAGCGTAAGACACAAACACGGGGGGGGCAGAGGAGCAGTGGCAGGGCGGCGCGGGGTGGGGGGATCTATTAAACTATATAAAGATTCACATTTTTTTGTTGCTATCAGGTAAGGCCCACTGAGCTGTGTAGCTCTTCTCGCAACCTGGCCATCACAAATGATAGCTCCACGAAGTGGTTTATCATCATGCGGAAATCTATAGTAGCTAAATACTCTAAAAACGCACATTGATTCTAAATGTGGAGGGAAAAACCGCAGTACCCGGAAAAAAAATCCACGCGACCACGGGGAGAAGATGCAAACTCCGAATATACAGGCGTCAGGGTCGGGATCGAATCCACGAACTCCTGTATACCAGGTGAGGTAGTTAACATCTCAACAGTGTGGCCACCCTTCACCCATAAAACCCAGTGCCTCGAGGTTGACAGCCGGGTCAGTGACACCGAGTCGACACGCCCGAGATTCAACGCGGGGTGGCTGGCGCACACGATGTTGGATTCTCGGGTGTGGCGAGGTGATGGCGCAAAGCAGCAATCGTCATGACCTCGGGCTTGCCGCCGGATTCGACAAAATTCCAGCTCCGAGTATCAAACCTATCGATTTGACTGTCACGTGACAACCACGTGGTTTCACACTTTTCTGGGAGAGTACCCAATTGATGCTCGATGTGATGATTTCACACCAGCATTACAGTTGAAATTAAATTGGGCGACAAAAGACAACGAAAAATTACAATACACTGACATACAGCGGTGAAGGCACGGGGGAGATGGGAGTGCGTGAGGTGGAGCCAATGGTGCTTTTCTCCGATGAAAGAAGCATCGTTCGCACTGACAGAGCGTGGCTCTTATTTGACGAGGCGAGAAATCCACTTTGGATTTTTACCTTTTTTTATTGAGGCAATGCGTGGGCACGTTACATTGCGTTGTGAAGCACGTTACGTCGTGTTGTGATGCACGTTTACACACCGTCAACGTAAACTAAACCGGCTATGAAAAGCAGGGGATAGAAAGATGGGGAATGGACCCGCTGCCCCAAACCAGGCGAGGACCCACCGAAAGGGGTAAGGGAAGTTGGATTTTTACATTTAAAGACGTGACTGTTGACTTTGAACCCAAATTATAGAACTTTGTTTTTTTTTCTCAAATCGACCCAATAAAACAACCAATGCAAGGAAAGACAGCCACATGCCGCCCAGCCTGGACATAGAAACTCCTTGCCCAGTTACACTCTACTCCGGCAAACACAAACTCATTCTTACAGATCAGTGCACACTGTCTGGGGTACTGGTGGTGGTGGTGCTGCTGCTGCTGCTGCTACAAAGGCTGGCCACCAACCCCTTTGTGTGCCATGCCGGCCTTCATAGGCGCTCGCCAACAGCACTTTCCGCCAAACGTCTGTGAAGGCTTTTCCTTTGCTGCTCAAGGCTGAAAATGGAAGATCTGAACATATACCTGACCCACCACAGCAGCCAGACGATCGTCTCCGTGCAGCGTGCGTGGATGAAAAGATTCATAATGCTACCGGGTGGACAAAGGTGACGGACAGCTGAAGAACCCTTCGCTCATCAAACCCAGTGCCTCCAGGTCGACAGCCGGCGGATACTAGCGGCTGTGCCTTGGTATAAAACCCTGCGTGCTTTTGCTCCATCCACTGCTGGCGGAAGGGCCTCCACTAGAGGGAGCTGTATAGAGCCCCGAAATATGGAATTTTTTTTGGGCCTACTCTTCCACGATCGCCACACCTAGGCCCAGCACCTTGGTGCACCTTGGTGCTGGGCCATGGGGGAGAGATGTTCATTACGTTGCCTGGTATACAGCAGGTTGTGGGTTCGATCACAACCCTGACTGACACCTGTATATTTGGAGTTTGTATGTTCTTCCCGTGGTCGCTTGTATTTTACTCCAAGTCCTCCGTTTTTACGTTCCACGTTAAGAAACATCCGTTTAAAGTGTTTGGCTGCTAGAAAAATCCACGTGATCAGCCACTTCGTTGAGCTGTCATTTGTGGCCAGGTCGCTTCTGAAAAAGACCCATATAGCTCAGTGGGCCTTGCATGGCAAAATGAAAATATTTTTTCCATAGTTTTTAATACAGATAATGCTGTAACGTGAATCCTTCACGCTTGCGATCAATGCTTGAGTAACGCTGCTTAAATGAGCACATGGCGGGGCCGGTTTCTGTTGGGAATTTTCACATTTTTATGATGGGGGTCCAGTTTCTCAATGACACTCACTGTTGACTGTCTGCAGAGTTGTACAATGGTACTAGTAATAAAATAAACAAAAGTATGTTTTAAGGATATGCACACTTGCAAAGTAAACATAACGCCATTAATCGATCCTATGCTCTTGATACAAGTATCGAATCGTATGTGTAAGGAACAATTATTGATAATGTATGCAAATGACATGCTATTGCCGTAAATACAGCAATAGATTGTGGAGTCGATTTGGCAAAACACTTAGAGGCAGTTAAAAATTACGCAACACAATAATTTATTTTGAAAGCTTCACGACCCCAAATCGTGACATTCCATGGAATCACTGGGGGGAGGGGGGGGTGGATAAATTAATAAAGTGCCGATTATTTAAAAAAGTACAGAATTAAGAAAGAAGTTCAACATGCATGGTCCCCAAAGGTATTTAAAATAATATATAGATAAATAGTAAAATGTGTGTTTTTTTTTTAAAGTCAGCACTCACAAGCTCCCCATGTTCATTGACCTTTTGTAGCAAATCTAAATCCACTTATTTGTGTGGCGGTTGCAGCATTCACCAAGACAGTGGATAAAGATTCACAGCTGGTGATGCATTACTGTTTGCTCATTCACCAGGGCATCGGCCAAAACCTCCTAAACTGCAGCCGCACCTCGCCAGAATTCCACGAAATTGCATCGACGCCACCCAGACACTTTCACAAAAAATTCAGCCGTGCAGCACAAGTCATTTTTTGGGGGGGGGGGCGGACGGGGATGGGGGAAGGGGGGGCAATAAATAGAAGAGCAAACACATTTATGGGGGTAACATCCTCTAACAAGCCATGCGGCGACCTCGCTGATCACAAGGTGTCCTCCCTTAGTGCCCTCCTAACGACATATTCATTACCCGCAAGCTGTTACCCCAGCGCCAGCCGCCGGCGTGAAGCTATCTCGGCTCCCTCTCTTCTCAGATTCTCCTTCTGCGCGTTTTTTTGTTGTTGTCCCGTGCATCGCGAGCGCTAACATCGAGAGGCAGGGGACGGTTAAAGCGTCAAGCAAGAGGAACTTCGCATCGCCAATCATTAGCCCATCCCGTAACCGAGCCACGGAGCGCAACTGATTTAACACGAAAAAAAAAACCCTCAGCACCGAGTAAAAAAGTAAAAAAAAGGAGAAATCTGCTCCGTAAGCCATTTGTTCCAGTTACTCAGCAAACTTCGCGAAATGCACACTCGGTTCTGGTTCACTTGGGAGGTTGCATGAAAAATTCTCCGTGGAGAGAAAAACAACTTTGCTGGCAAAGCCGAGCGAGGGACGGAGCCGCGCCAGGCACGCGACGCGCGCACCGCTCCCGCTAGAACCTTGGCGGAGTGCGACGCGCGTGGACACGCTCTGGACGCGTGACCGCGTGCGGAAGCCCACGGCTCCGTGAGATGCGAGGCGGCCGGGGAGACAAAACGACCTGGAACCGGTGCGGCTGAGTTCCTAGGTTCGAAACCATCTGGCGTTATAAACGAGACTGTGACGTGCAGCAAAACGATGGTCCCCACCCAGGCCCAATCACAAGTGACTGCATACGCACGTAAAAGAAACAACACCCAGGAGATACGGTGAACGATAGCGTCTTTGATGGCTGTAGGGGTGATAGAAACCTATTACGTACAAGCTGTAGTAATCATAATAATTTACAGCCCTTTGCTATTCCATCGATGGCTGAAGGGCTTTCCTTGCTTCTTCTCATCAATTGCACGATTGTAACATGGTGTAATTAATAGCGCACATTGACAGCCCCCTTTGTCACGAGTTCACTGCTGGATGAGGGCCTCCCTATGCCTTGCGGGCTGTTGAAGGATATTTGACCATGTTGGTCAGTGTGGGTTGAAGTTGCAAGAAGTGCAGATGAACAATGGACTTTGCAGCACAAGCCCTCTACTGCCAACAATGCCTATTGCAACTGTCTATTAGCCATGGTGTTCACTCATCCAAGGACTATACAGGCCCAGCTTGCTTAGCTTCTTAGATATGATGAGATTAGGAGCATTCAAATTGGGATTATTCATAGCAATCGCCCCCTACTGGCAGACTCATGCCCCAGGTCACGCTTGCAAACGAGACAATCCTGCTTTCTTGAATTCTCACCCAGTTACACGAAATAAACTTGAATCTATTCTTGATGATTCGGTCATTGGCTTCATTAATATTACAAAACCAGCAAAAGATGATTTATAGGATGTTTTAAATTCGTGTGTTTATATTAGGCAGGGATTCAGACCATAATAAGAAAAAACAGTGTACACCATGAAAACATAACCAGTATTGTTATATTCCTAAAAAAACATGTATAATTGATGGAGGAAAACTCTATGCCTCCAATGACATGGGCACGATGCACGTGTTGTACCGTAAACAAGCACACATAGATGCATACTTGTATGCACACACTGTTAATAGTAAGAACATCTAAGAGCAGCAATTGTATCGCGCTTTCAGGCTTCATATGAATGCCTTTTCAGAAAATATCTATATCATAAACAAAACTGCCCCATATAGACTTTAACAGACTTGGTCCAAGTGCTGTTAGTGAGCACCTACGAAGGCTGCCACGGCACACGAGAGTGTGGGTGGCCAACGTCGCGCCGCTGCTTTCGTCTCCCCAATCCTGATGTTTACACACCGCACCAAGCACTCATTTAAGGCCGAGTCGACCTAAGGGATGCCCAGGACGGCTACAGATATATGTTGGCCAGGAGCGGGAATCGAACCTAGGTAGCCAATTCATAGAGGTTTTTGGGGGTGAGATCGCGTAAATATAAATGTGTCGTTAAACCCACCACCATCCGACAGCCAATTAGTAAGGTTTGCCATGTAACAAAACATGCCAATTCATTACTAGTGCAGTGTGTTGGAGAGTAAACACACATCTACAATTCTCGAATCGGCATGATTTGTTTATGTCACAAACCTTACTAATTGGCTGTGTCGGGTGGTGGGGGGTTTAACGACACATTTATATATTTACGCGACCTTAGCCCAAAACCCCTGTTATGGATATTAGTCCCGAAAGCCTACGTGTTAAACCGGGTCGCCATTTTTTAAGCGCGATTCCCTAACCACTACACTACCGCCCCCACTATATATATAATATACATGTATATTTCTGCATGTATACATCGTTTTGTGAGCATAGCTACATGAATGATTTTACTTAGGTGTATGTATTTTCCTTCAGTCAAATATGTGGACAGGTTTAAACAAATATACCTTTACATCTGGCCCTATCTGTGACCAATGGTGGAGAAGAAATGTTGGCCCAAAGGCAGATAAGGCGAGAGCGACGTGATAACCCTTACATCTACAGGTTCACCTCGCAATCAATTCCAGCACTCGCGAGCCCAGCGAGTGAGCAGCGCATTGTTGAAAAGCCGTTGAGTGTGGTTAATCGGCTGCGACGGTGGTGGGAGACAGGGGGGGGGGCATTGGTACACATCAAACAACACTCCTCGACCCATACACTGCGTCAACCTAAACATGAATATTGTGGTGTGAGGCCACGCAATGGAACAGCTCAGAGCGGAGACAAGAGAGGGAACAGGGAGGGATATGCAGCGGTAATCGTCGCCAAACGTTGTTCAACGTAGTGCCTTAAAGATGCAGTTTGGTGAAATCCGAATGTAAAAACAGAACTTGAGGCCTTATTCTTACATCGGCAGAAACTGATTTCATGGCCATTTTGCCACAACAGCAATGCACCCATTTCTCCACCAAACAATGGCGGAAGCTATCCTTCTGCCAACGTTTCAGCTAGGCCCTTTGCTTAGTCAACAGTTTTACATTGGTACATACGTGGGTAAATAATGTATTAAAACATTATTTTGAATCGATCATTTTAATGAAGAACAACTCAAGGCTGTTGCAACTTTAGGCCATAATACTTTTGGAGGTGGAGTTCATTATGATGTCTCTACAGTTAGATAAGAGAGGTATAATTTGAATAGGTAGAATTTTCCTACAGTGACCAAGTAGGATTTGATATTGTGAGAGAGGTCGTTTTGGTCATCTCACACCGGAATGAATAGTAGGCCAGCAAGTTCACATCTCCGAGACCTTTCGGACACTTGTTCTGAAATGGGGACCGATGAGATCAGATACCTTTAAAAGACACATTAATCATTAAAGGTTTCCATCTTTAGAGTGTAATTTATGTAAAAAAAACATTTTCACTGTCCTGCATTTCAGCATTCTCTTTGTTTCAACGTGCAACAGGTGTAAACAACACACAGCCTCTCTGTAAAATGCAAAAAACAATCAGCAATTCCTCAAGAACCGAAATGTAGTCGTCTTGTGAGTGAGCACCATCAAAATACACTTGAGCAAATGTGAGTGAATGACCGCAACAGTGGGGGCATCTATAGACAACTTAGGGCTGCCGGTCTTTTGCACAATGCACAATGGCTGTGCACGTTTTACATGTCGGAGTATCTTGTTTGAAACATGAAAGATGGTTGTCTTGGCTTGCACTGTTACCTTGTGGCGATGAGGGATTTCTCCTAATTCACAGATTTGATCGCGCTCTTTCCGCAGTCTCAACGTGTTCATAATTTGCAGCGGAGTTTACAAAAGCTGCAACTACGAAGCCAAGACACGAGAAGAGACTTTGCCTCCATTATGATTTTTCTTCAATAAAGCAATTTTTCACGACTGAATTGACTGCGCTTGTTAAGGCATTCCCACTTTTGAAGTGTGAATATGCATTTGAAGTCTGATTCTTAAACATGTATACTTTGTTTATAATATGTATCAAATTTTATATCAATAATATGTATAGCGTAATACCTTAAACATTGCAATTTAATGTTAAAACTTTAAATAATTTACTCTGTAATGAATACAGATACACACTACGTGTATGTAACATGAACGTCTACACGTTAAAAAATACGGTTATTGAAAAATAATAACAGTATTATTTTGACTGCAACTGAGAGCGTTAAAAAACCTAGACGTTTCAGCCAACTGGCCTCCTTCAGGAAAAAAATTCTATATACATTGTGCATAAACACAATTAATATTCTATAATAATGTTGAGTTGTATATAGCACCGTTCATTCAAATCGCATCTAACAATCGCTGAGGAACTACAGACAAGCTGGGAGGCGGCCAGGTAGTGAGCCAGTGCCAGAAGTTGCCCAAGCTCTGTGATCCTCTATATATTAAGATGTTTTCAGCCGAATAATAATAATGATGAGTGTTTATAAGGTGTGCTTGCGATTGGAAGCATATATTTACTCACATTTGTTTTTTTTGCAATAATAAATAATAAAATACAAAGTGTGGACCACACAGTTATATAAATACGAATCCACTGCAACCATTACCACTCTGATGCAGTCGCTCACTAAACGCAAATACTGGACACTGTGCCGCGGTGTTTTCGATAGAACACTACTCACGATTTACGACATCTTATTTTCTCTCGCGTGATAATAATTAGTATGATGCTAATGGCGAAATTCCGGTCTCCGTCCTAGCCAAGGCCCCGCAGTGAGAAAAGCTAAATTTTACAGAGCACGCACACATCCCCGCCGCTGATAGTAAAACCACTGCATGTGTGACAACAGTGAGCACGGCAAACATTGATAGGGCCACGCAAACACGACGGGGAAAACATCGGGCAATAACGAACGGCCCTGCATCTGTTTGTTTTGTTTCTTTCACTTTTAATGAAATAACGCGAGTATCGCCAGTCTACGGGCGTCATCCAGAGTTAGGTCTCATCTGTGTGAGCATCACACACGAGCATCCGTCGCAGCGATGCTCGCAACTCTTTGGCGATCCTGAGCTGGTGGTGCGAAATTCCGTAAACCCACGGCAAGAGGGACAGACTCTCCACACGACAGCCAATGCTGACCATCCATAAAAGTTCTTCTCAATTCACTGACCCCAGAACAGACGGGAAGCTGAGTCAGCACCAGAGGATTTGAACACGCGACTCGAATGCTCTAACCACAGCATCGACCAATCGGATATCCTCAGTCTGCAACATTGGGAAACTGTCGCACAAGCCTAGGAAAAATAATTCCATCGAGAAAAAATGCGAATGTCTCCGAATGATTGCGAGGGCTGGAGAGGAGTGGAGGACGGACACTGGGAGATGAAGCAGATGACACTGAAAGATGAAGGTGGACTGAGAGAAGCAGAGGCAGAAGAAGGAGCGGCCTAAGGCTCGGGGAGGGACAGGGAGGAACGAGTCCGGGCTGAACGCAAACCGACAGCAGCATTACTGTGATCCGTTTACCAAAGGCAGGTTCCAGTAATTATGCATTTAGCACTGAAAATCTCAGTTTGAAATCCGATTACTCTTACTTAGGATGTACCTGACTGAATACTTATTATGATTGCTATTAGTTATTAAAATTCCAAAACTATTTCAAAAACTGAAAAAAGCAAAAAGTGATCGCGGCACGGGTTAACGTACAAAACCCAGTATCTCATGTCTAAAGACCACAGTACAAATATTTTAAGTCGTAGAGCACTTTCCTGTTACGTCTGAAGTCCAGGGGTCAGATGCGTAAAACCACTTTAGTTCCCTTAACTTCGACATAAATCAGTGTCAATTAAGGGATATTTTCACTTTCTGTTTTATTGTACAACTGACCAAAGGAACTTAAATGCACTTTGAGATGCTACGGCATTACCGCACAATATAAACACAACTCATCGGCCCCTTAATAGTACAAGCGATTCCAAAGAGTCGGAATGCAATACTTTGAAAATAGAAAAATACGAATTCACATTCCGTAAAATTTTAACACCGCAGCAATTGGTAATCGGGGGGTCCTGTTCGCAGGACCGGCTGCAGGTTCCGGACGGACGGACGGTGGGGCAGGCCGGCGGTGGAGGTCGTCGATGAGATCCGCGGGGCGCCCCGGGGGGGGGCTCTTACCATGGCTGGTGGCGGGGGGCAGCATGTGCACGCTGTCAAACTCCAGCGCGGTGTACGCCGGGTCCAGGGACTCGCAGTAGTCGGCCATCTCCATGCCCAGAACGCTCCCCGACAGACGCATTATACAAGGGGCCCTACGCGTGCGTGCCCGTGTACATATAGACGGTGTGGGCGAATGGTGGAGGATCGATGTACTTATACTGCTTCCGCTTGTATTAAATATATATACAGAGATACCTAAGCACGTATTACTCTAAGGACCAGGCTTGACGGAGACTCATGGATTAGTGCCTGTTGCAGGTGTGACTGCTTACGAATGCTCGTCTCTCTCTCTTCCTTTGGCAGGTGGCAAATTGGCGGTGGAGGTAAAGCTCTATATTGATGCTCAACGCCCCCTTGGCTACTCCACACGCGTGGGCCGAGGGGCAGGGTTTGAAGGCGGTCCCCCAAGGTGAGCAGACACGGGGAGGAGGAACTCCGAACGGGCAATGCACTCCTCGTTAATGCTTAACCGGACTCCTGTCCCGGTCCCTCCCTGCGCTCTCAGTCTCCACCAACACCTACAGCCATTCTCACTGCACCCCCCCCCCCACCACTCCTCAACCATTGCCCACCACCCTCCACCCACTCACCACCTCTCTACCCCGACCAATTTTTTTATGGCACTCTAGTAGAATGCTTATTTGTCACTTCGCAGGTAATCTCGGCTACTGTGTTCAAAGAGATCGTGGCGCTGAGTTTATTGCGGCTCGGCACGATCTGCGCACGACCTCGCAGCGGCCGAGCGGTGCTTGATCTGGTGGAGATGCTCTGCGTTGCTAGGAGACAGGATGCTCCATGTCACTAGAAAACGAGATTGTCCACGTCGCAAGGAGACGAGATCCTCTGCGTCGCTAGGAGACTGCACGTTACTATGAGACGCTCCACATCGCTAGAGATGCTTCGCGTCGCTAGGAGACGAGACGCTTCGCGTTGCTAGAAGATGCTCCATGTTGCTAGGCGATAAGACGCTCCACGTTGCTAGGAGACGAGATGCTACGTGTTGCTAGGAGATGTTCTGAGTTGCTAGGAGACGCTCTGCCACACACAGCATCACTCATACCAGCATCGATTGGCTGCAGCACACGTTTACCCTCCGCTACTACGTCACGTGTTTAAAGCATCAGTGTCAATGCATAATTAAACAAAAACAACTGTGAAGCTGCATTGGCAGCGGTGGATGAGCACAAATAACACAAACGCAAAACATTTGTCAATAACATCGCCCAAAAAGAGGAGAAATCATAATCCGTGACATTTCTGACAATTTCCCTTTTTCACACGCACAGGAGCCATTGCCCAACATGTGGCCTCTTACCCGTTTCCTCTCTATGGAGGAAACCAAAACTAAATTAAGACTAAACTATTTTTATTTTACCAGGTAAGGCCCACTGAAGCGACCCAACCATAAATGATACCTCACGTTTCTCAACATGCGGAGGCGAAAAACCGGAAACATAACTCTCTCATGAAATTTCTCTCATGAAGTCATGGGGCTTCGATGTACTTGTCAGGAGAAGCAAACAATGGATCATCTTCTAGATTTGAAGTTTTCGTGACTTCGGTTAAGTCACGTGAATTAACCGAAAAAGCCAAAGAGAATGGACCATCTCCTGAGATGCCTTGCAGCACCACAATGCACTCCCCAAGATTTGGCAATGCCAACACCGAAAAGCGGTGGCCTGTGCAGAATATTGGGTTGGACAGGAGACACGAAGAAGAAGTCCGGAAGCGTGGAAACGCACCGGCGCATTCCAAATGCCGCCCTCAGGTTTGTGGAGGCCTGGGGCAGAGTGCCTCTTTTGGCCCCGCAAATTTCATTTGCGTCAAAAAAATAAAAACAGACCCATTGAGGGGGCGGCGGGGGGGGGGGGCTCATTTGTATGAGGCCCAGGAAAAGTATTCCCCTTTTGCCTGCCTTCTTCCCGTACCCCTCCCCCCAACCCAACCCCTCTGGGCGATCCCACTGACAGCAGCGGCGGGCATAGCGTTGGGCCCATTGAGCCACTCAACCTCCTTCGTACGCACGCCATCTTTGTAATTGCTGTCGTTGTTTTTGCACACCTCTAGTAGCGCAGGTGGAATGACGTTACGTTTTTCTCTTTATAATTTTAGTCGTATGCATCCCCTACAAGCTGGTTTTATATCTCTTGACTTTGAATGAGTGGTTCTTTTTGGTGTAGTAATTTGCACAAAAGCCATGAAGAGGAAGTCTTAAGACTGAGTAAGATCAGGCATTTAGTGAAGCTTAAAAAATCCCACCCAACAATAACCTGGCTGTTAGGCACTCTGCTCTTAAACTTTTTTTTTCCACAGGGCAATAGTGAAACAATAAACATCTCCCTTTTACTAGTGTAATGGATTACACAGAGTGCTGATAAGTGAGAAGGATTATCGTACATAGCACAATCTGTTTTGTCGTGAAAAACTAAAAATCACACCTCACCAAATATTGTTCAATCTCAACATTCAGATCAGGGAAATGTCTCCCATTACAAGAATAATAAATCCATGTATACAGCGCTTTTCATCAAGGATCTCAAAGCGCTGTACAGACACAGCAGCAGCAGACACTCAACATAAAATGTACATACAATTTTAAGACATTTTAAGAATCCATTTACGAAATTAACCAAAAGTTTAATAAACGAAGCACATAAATAGGTTTTAAGATGCATTTTTAAAATGTCCAAAGAATCAGAGATCCTGATAATATATATTTACATCCATTTGTCAATCCACTGCTGGATGAAGGCCACCCCATACCATTTTGGTCTTTGGGATTGTTTGACCGTACTTCACCACACTGGTCAATTGCGACTGGTGGAGGAAGAACACCAGGACCGGTTCAGATATTATTCACCACTGATGCTAGCCATGGACGGGAACAAAACACAGTTCATCGAGTTCAGGTCACATTGCACGAACCACTGTTAGCACCACTCCCCCAAGCAATGATGATCAGAGTAATTTATTTGTTCTTTTGAATGTATTTCTGAAAATGTTTCACTCAGATACTTACTTGAAATGGAACATCTCATTTGCGAGGGTGTCCAGAGTAGTAATGCGGAAAGGATTATTTCGGGAGAGTTCTGCATTGGCTTATTTTGGACAACTCCTCCATGATGGTTGCGCTGCAGTTAGAACAATTGACTCACAATCAGGAGGCTGTGAGTTCAAATGCAACATCGCTTCCTTCCTTCCTTCTCCCAGATCTCACAGCCACGACTAAGACTGACTGTTTCATGCCATGCGTACTAAACGCTTCTCTTTCGCTTCTTCCCATGCAATGCTCCACTTTGGAATTCCCTCCCATCGGTCCCTTTTCCCCAGTTCTTATGAAATTGATAAATTCAAGAAATGTATGCACTCGAATCAAGTTTAATGGTGCTGTCTATTGCTGGCTGCTTGGCATTTTGGGCCTGTGCTCAGCAATGGTGATAAGAAGAAAAAAACCCAAAATCAATTTAGACAGAGCATCTAAATATGACCGCATCGCATGACCTTGCAAATGACGGGGGGACCTTGCACATCAATTAGGAAATAGTTTTTGTTAGTTTTTTTAACCAGGAGATCAGAATCATAATATGCATTTATACTGGGGGATTCTGATAAGCTATAAAGCTCTTTTTCATAGATCTCCAGGAGCAATTTCAGATCCTGTCAGGGGCAGCGGACAGGGCAGAGAAGCACGGCAACAGTAAAGTAGGGTGCGATGGAAGACATTGCACGGAGTCAGTCAGTCACAGGCTTTAAAGAAGGTGAAGGCTTTCATTATGGAAGTTGACCGTGGAACGGTGGCAAGAGCGCAAACCGTTAGCGGGAGAGAGTTCCAGACTAGGATGCAGCTGCAGAGTAGAAATGCCCCTCTCACATTGACACTGAAATCAGGTTGATTGGGAGTTTTGAGAGAGGGCCTCTGAATTGCTGGAGTAGAGATCGCCGTGAAGGGCCATAGAGTGAGGCCAGATTGGAGAGGTAGGCGACGGGCAAGTCCACAGAGGGTATTGAAGAGAGTGAGGGTGCCCTTGTTGTTTACCTATGATTGCATTGGCAGAAAGTGGAGCAAATTTTATCACGGGGTCTCTTTCACAGGTACAGGTGAGATATCTGGTATGAACTCTATTGATGCCATCCCCATGCCATCTGTGTGGCTACGATCTGATATTGATACATATTCAGCACTGACAACAGGGCTTGCCTTGAATTAAGTCAATAATCAAATTCAACCTCATAACTTTTCATGGAGTCATTTGCAACCAGGCTGAATCATTAACTGACTACATTTTTTTACTGTACTTCATTAACTCACCATACTTGTGAACCTGGTTTAACCAACAGTCAGAGTCAGGACTCAAACTCAAACCCAGGATTCAGCCAAAATGGCTCAGTGCTTCAAAAGAGTTGAGTCAGTTTGGTCTCCAGAGCCATCCAGCCACCTCATTAATGTCACTCATTTTATTCATATATTTTTTACTTATTGATTTATCATGCCCCAGGCACTCCTAACAAAGCTGACGGAAAGTTGGCACGAGGCATGCGAAATCACACGCAAACAATGGCGGAGCCACGGATTTTCAGGTAGGGGGGGAAACCCCTTCAGCAATGAAAACTGATAGAGGAGTTATTAGTAAGTAAGGACTTGTCCCTTGCTTTTTATTCGACGCGTGTGCAGCGATGGCGCAGCCATCGATCGAGGGTCGAATTCGAACCGCCGTGTGTGATCGGCATCGTGCTCGCTGAAGGTGTTTGCCTTCAGGGAAGTCGTGTCCTATATACGCAACTGCGCACAATTCTGAGTCACTTATAACTACTTTGCCGTTACTTATTGCCAATTATGGACCCAGACTATTGTCCTATCATCTCAGAGTCCCTGGCACGTAATAATATGCTACACAGTGGCAGTGGGGGGTCGCAAAATGCCGATTTATTACTAATAAACCCAAATGATCCGATCGAAATTAGGGATTTCGATCGGATCACTGGGGGGGCACGTGCCACCCCACCTCACCCCCCCCACTGGCTCCGCCAGTGCACGCAATCCACTCCAACCCCCAAATCCACATCGATCGACTAAGCCCTCTCACTCATCTAAGGACGGCATAATTAGATACGCACGAGGGCCACCGATACCAAAATCTCTACAATAACAGAACATACCCTGTGCCCTGTGCACATAAACTGAAACGACACAACGCAACAACGCATCGAAACACAACGGAATGACAATCAGCCTTTGGCATCACACACGCAGCAGTAAATCTGCTCTTCACAGTCGCTGCACCGCGGACGAGTCATAGGCGACGCTTGAGGAGCGCTCCCCCGCCTTCTACCCCCCCACGGTTGTCGAGTCAAACCTCGTCGCGCGAGGGCTCGGCAGCCTCTCGTCAAGGTGAACGCCGTTCCTACGCTTCCTCGTTAAGGAGCGGCGGCTACAGCAACGCGATTAATTGCCGCGACACCCAAAAATTGCCGCTTCACCCAAAAGAAACCCGCAGGTGCCATAA